CCCCAAAACCCCAAAACCCCAAAACCCCAAAACCCCAAAACCCCTTTGTGTAGATAGCTTTTGAACTAAGAATTTGATCTAACTGAACGCTAGAGAGAATTACTAAGAAAGTATATTTATCATCAATTAGAATACTCCTGAGCCGCCTGCGCCTCCGAAGTGATTAAAGTTGTTAAACATTCCTTCATCACACTTCTCTGAGCTATTCTTGTATTTGAGGATATCGACTCCTCTCCTGAGATCCTGGTTTTCAGCTTGAAGTTTCTGATACTCTTTGACAAGGTTATCAAACTGAGAGACTTTTTGGCAATTCTCTTCATTCTTCTTGACAAGTATATTGATTCCCTTCTTGAGAGTCACATTATCAGTGATCAGTTTCTTGATAGCTTCGGAAATAGCTTTTCTTTCTTTCTCAAAATCTTTTCCTTTAGAAGATCTAGGGCTCTTTCGGGAAGAAGCTACAACCTCTTTGAAGGAACCTAGGCCTTCTTTAATAAGATTTAATGCGGTTTCTTCAGTCGATGCACTCTTGAGTTTATCAAAAAGCGCATAGGAGATACCTTCAATGGCTCGGTTTACCTCTTCAGGGTTATCAATAGTCGGACTCTTCTCTTCTTCATCGCTCATATGACTTAGGTCTTTGCTTGACTCATTGGATGAATTACTGATTTCATTGAACCTTCTCTTTCTCTTGACTGATAGATTAGCAAACACCAACTTACTTGAGGAAGGAGAGAAATCAATGTTTGAAGACTTGTTCTCTTGGTTTGAGAATGGATTACAGTTATAACTACTCTTCTTTCCTTTATTCAAGTTTCTGATAGCTTTCATCATGTCATTGTCACAGTCTTTCAGGAGGGTCTGAAGACTCTATATAATTTATTAGAATTGTGTCTAGATTTTTATGGAATCTCAGCCCTACTGTTGTTGGGCTGTTCATATTTACAAACTTTTCTACCAAACTTTTAATCATCCTCAAACAAAAATAAGCAACTTTTTAAATTATTCAGTACAAATTGGCTGAAGAAAAGCCGCGAATAGATCAGTTTTAGGTGAAATAAAACTATTACCTCTTCGTTTAGATTTGGGAACTGGAGCTTGAGCCTGGTGAATGGAATCTTATGAGTAATGGGGACATACTCATTATTCTCTAATCATCCTTTCTTAAATCTTTTAGCTTGTCTGGTCATTTCAACATCATTGGACAATGATTCGCTTACGATGGCTTGCATTTTTAATTATTTATTATATAACTTCTTATCTTTTTTCAGATGTCAATTTCTAATTATTTAAATGGGGTTTTGGGGTTTTGGGGTTTTGGGGTTTTGGGGTTTTGGGGTTTTGGGG